CTTTTCAATAAAGAATAGTTATATCATGTAATGCATTTATAACCTGCAAGGCTTTTGCCGAGAACTAATTTCAATAATACATGTTATTAATATTGTAATTTCAAAGAAGATTACAAGTTTGACCAGTAGATGTTATAAAAATAAGAAAATACCCTTTAATAATTCATTTAAGATAAGTGAATTCAACTTTTGTCGAAAAGTAACAATATCGATAACAGAAATGTTAAAAATTCCGAATGTAAAAAAACTCGAAATATAAAAAATATCGAAAGTAAATAAGTCGAAATAAGAATGAAGATAGATAAAAAATATATTTCTTCGACATTTGTTGAGTGAATCTTTAAATAAGATGGTTGATTAAATAAGTTGTAAATTGGTTTTTATTAATAGCAAGAAAACAATGTATCACATGATGTTGTCATTAAAAACAAAAAAGCGATATTACTTTTCTTTTGTATCTCAGAAATGCTATTATCATTTTCAAGTTAAGTTGTAAATGAATTTCTACTGAGTAGAATTATATTTGTTCGGTACACATAACAAAAAAATGGAAATCATGTGTAGAAATCAGTGTAGCATATGTTTTCTATAAATTAGAACAAGTCATGCAATCCTTTGACGACTGTTTATGTCGAGGTAAAAAAAAGTATGTTCTTTTTCTCCCCTGTTGTCATTTCTAGCACTGTAATTTACTAGGTCATGAATGAGAAGCGAATAATAGCTGATATATATGAACTTGCTTAATCATAGGGTACCCCGATTTACTTTCTTTCTATTATCAGTTAAAAAACTAACCATATTCGAGCCAAATTCTCACTCTCATCGCTATACTACTAAATCTAAAATATTAGCTGCTGATGGCTGTCTTGTATAGAATTATTCAGTCCCTGAAATCGTGTCCTATCGTTTTTAAGGAACTGAATAATATCATATAAGACAGCCATCAGCAGCTAATATTTTAAATTTAGTAGTTTAGCGATGATGGTGATAATCTGGCCCGAATATGGTTAGCTTTTTAAATGATAATAGAAAGAAAGTAAATCGGGGTACCCTATGGTTAAACACGTCCACATATACTTTCATACTCTTGTAAATAGTATATATTTTAGAAAGAGAATAAACAACAGATTTTTTCAATATAAATAATTATCATGTTGAAATTTTATAATTATTAAAGAAATTTAATCCAATAACTCTAAGAATAATCCAACGAAATATAATATGATTAATGTTTAAAAAAAAAATTTATTATGTGTTTAATAAATTTTGACATGTGATCTATGATTTTATTTGCTTTAGGAGATTAATTTATTTCTAGGAACATTGATAAAACAGTTATTTAGAATGATGTCAATAGTACTTACTAAATTCATCATTGACTTATTGTTATTTGTTCTATAAAGTCAATTGATTCTGTCTAAACATATATCTATTGTATCGAAATTGTCATGTCAACATTAAAGTTTGTTGAAGTCATTTCAGGTTAATTTTTATTAATTTTAAAACGATATATATCAATCTTTTATGATATGAATCATTAAAAAATTATTGAGGAAAATTAGAATTACATTGTGTTAATGCTTTACATAATCGTAGATCCATTCTGATGATGCTAAGTTTTATAGCTAATGAAATAGATCTTCAAAATATCAAGATCAGATTTAAACATTAATTAAGTAAATAATTAGAACAATATCCAGCTTTTATTGTATTTCGAGATTTTTGAAGAGTGTTATAGTGAATCTCGGTATTCAATTTTATTCTAATTGGCAAGGTTAACAATGGTGATGAAATGAGCATTTAGCTGAGAATAAAAACAAAGACAAAAAACAAGATAGAAAAACTAGTTGAGGATGAAACATGACTTCTCCATACTATGACTTTCTTCTAGTACAATCAAAACTTATTATATATTATCAAAGAAAAATCTAAGATTTTAAACAGCTTGAATAAATTCTAAAACAAAAAATAGATCTCGATAGTTCCTCACTGATCGCATTTCGAAGTCACAAGTCACTCCTACTTCTTTATGGTATCTGTTTGATGCTTTTGTTTTTCAAATTAGCTTTACTGATGTAATTTATTCCAGAATAATACATAAATAACAGTGCCGTCCTGATAAATATTAAAAAGCCTAGTCAAGCAAAGTTTATTCTTTTGACACGATATAAGTCCGGGTCTGATGTGCATTTAACATGCTTATGTATGAATCATATTCTTTTTCCTATTAATACAAAGTTCAAATATTATTTAAATCGAGTCATGAGATTCTGAAGATCTATTATTTCACTAGCTGTAGAATTTAACGTCATTTGATTATATCTACAATTATGTAAGGCATTAACAAAATGTACGTATAATTTTTTAATATATTTTCATTAAAAAAAAAATGATATTTATGCTTTGAAATTGAAAAATTAACTATAAATATATATATAAAGGGTGTCCCAGAAGTTCTGTTACGTTTTTAAGTAATCTTGGCTTAGAAATGTAACAGAACTTCTGGAACACCCCTTATATATTATGATTATAATACCATCAATCTATTGACAATTAATTGGTAATTAGTTGATCTGAAAAATCATCGATAAAATTTTTTTTTGTTGAAGTTATAACTTCAATACGATGAACACATATATATTGAGAATGGCGGAGATTAATACATTTTAAATCACCTGACTATAAATTTGAAGAATTTTATAGATATGATATTTCATTCTTGACACATAGACTTGTCAAATAACTTTAACTTTTTTTTTTATATATCACCTCCTTAATTAATGTTGTGTTGCCAATGATAAGAATACAAGAGTGACATTGTTCTTATTTTTCAGCAAAAAAAATGTAGATAGACACAGACAAAAGTTTAATAACAATCTTTAAGACAACCTTCAAAACAAACATATCATATCATGTTAATCAATGGTTTGGTAATCGTTCTGCTTGCATACAATATCCGTTGTCGTCAATAGTCTATGAATTGCAGCTACACACGACGAGAATGACATACACTGAAAATATCTCGACTCATATTTATGTATGAGGAATAATCAACATAAATAAGATAATCTATTATGACTGAAGAAAAAGAAAAGAAGAGAATTGTCAGTTAATCAGTTGCCTATTTTTTCTGTTGCTATCGATATTCTTATAAAAAGGTATAAAAGTAGTAATTAATCTTTTTGATTGAAAATGATAATATATTATTTTTTTGAGACAATCTTTCTACAAATTTGAGTGGAAGAGCAATTACTGAAATATTCATCTATACATTTTATCTATGCTCTATAGTCTTCTCAAAATAAAAATCGTACGCGTCAAGAGACGGAACATTATTTTATAAATGTGAAAACAAAATTTTGTAGATTTTTCTTTTGTCTTTTTATTCCCTCGAGCGATAGATAAGAATATGTTAAAAAAGAAAAGAAGATATACTTTTTTTTTTGGTCATATTTCTATAGTCTTTAAAAAAGTACGAAGTAATTCAATTTGAACTTGTTAATGAAGAAGAAAAAAAATAAAAAGTTCTCTTGCTATTTTTTTTTCTACAAAACTTCTTATATTCCATTGATAAAGAGCATTTCTTCAATTGAATGACGTTATACAAAAAAATTAATTTAGCATTGTGACTTTCTCGTTGATTTTTTCATGACTTTCATACGGGCACGAACCACTTGCAAATATACATTGACTATATATATACTAGTAGGATTTTTTTTAAAGATGTTATTCAATATCATTTAATCTGTGCGTATATTTTTTGTAAAACCAATTAAAATTTTTTTTTCAACTTATATATGATTTTTTTTTATTGATAAAAAGATGTTAAATGTTTTTCTTTCTTGTTATTATAGTATAATTATGCCTTTCCTACTTTTATCTCATGATGAACGGACAAGGAGGAAAACGAGAAACGCAAAAAACAAGAAAAATTAGTAATTGAGATGTATGGATGATTTATAAACGTAATGAGTTATGTCGGCAAAGTGTTCTTAGATATAATTGTCATTAACAATATGAACATATATTTTTAGATTCACTTCGTTGACTTAAGAGTCCAAACTCATTTTATTTTCTTTCATTTTTGTATTTACGCAGGAGAAGCAGTAGAAAAAGATGAAACTAATTCAAGAAATTAACGTATATATTGAACAGAGAATTAATGTTTAAGGGATGAGAAAATAAAACGGAAACTGATAGGGAGAAAATAAGTAGAAGGTTATAGAGACAAAATAAAAATGAGACAAAAAGGGAGAGCAAGAAAAAGTAACAGATGTATTTGAAACAACGGCTATTAGCTAATAATTTGCGCCTGCACATTTTTATTCTTTTTTTTCCTATCTTCTCTCTCGTCCGTAAGCGTCATTTTATCCTAGTGAAGAATACGGAAGACGTAGACTTTTTGAAAAGTATATCGTTCTTTTTTTTTTTAGTAGAATAACTGTACACACATCCACATGTAATAATTAGTAATATGTATGTATTTGTTACTATACTTACTGAGCCCATATGGTCTCCATTATTCTACGTAGTACGTTGTGTAGTATTGCTCTAGGATGATCAATAAAAAACATACAAATGTCATTATTTATCATCCTTCACAGGAGATCTACTGTTTGCTGATCGAAGAAGTCATACATTACACTATTACCAGACATAGACCAATACAAAACAAGTAAAGCAATGCATACAACCATTTATTACTCAGCTGAGAAAACGAAATGAAAGAGCAAGAAAAATTGTAAACACTAGTTAAAAGAATATATTGAAGTCATATATATTGACTGACACATGTTTCTGACAAAAATAGATAACAGATCCCTTGAATTTTCCTTGCTATTTTCCTTTTCTTATCATAGTCAAACTCAGGAAACTCGCATATGAAACACTAATAAACTATTCATCGTATAATTATTCTAGTCATTGATATAGAAAATTATCATAAACCGCATGATATCTACTTTATAATATTAAAAAATTGAAATAAAATATTGTAGAACATGAATACTACCAATAACAATACAATAGTGGCATTAAATAATACAATTGATACAACAAATTGGCTTCTTCATTCTTCTCTTTGGTCATTACGTATTGTATGTCCATTATTTCTAGTTCTTTCTCCTATTTTTAATTGGGCATGTATACGAATATTTCAATCACGAATATATGCTCGATCATCAACAAAATGGTATTTTATATTTATAGCTATATTTGATACAATTTATGTAGTTGTTACCGCACCACTTTTATTTTTGATAACATTTGAAATTTATATTCTTAATTGGAATGTATTCCTATGTAAATCAGTGCTTTTTTTTAATTATTTATCATGTCAAATATCAGCTGGTCTATTAGCATGTTTATCAATTGATCGTCTTATTGCAACATCATGTTTATCATTATATCGTCTTAATTGTACAACAAATTTATCACGAATTGTTTGTTTAATTGTTATAGTCGTTTTTTCAATAGTTAACTCACATTATTTAATTGGTTATACAATTGATTCACATGGTTATTGTAGTATAAGACATTATAAATGGTATGAAGCAATATATTCACGTTTAAATGTTGTTTATTTATTATCATATTCAATCATACCATTTACAATAATAGCCATATGTAATTTATTTATTGTTCTAACTGTTTGTCATAATAAAACAAACATGAAAAAAAAATATGATAGTAAAAAACAAATTATACTACCAAATATCCCTCATGAACAAAATTCAACATCAAGAGATGTACCGAAAATATGTGAAAAACCAACTAAAGTATTAAAATTTCAAACATGTTCAACAACTAATAATACAATAAATGACAATAAACATGAAATATTTGTATCAATTAAAGATGAAAAAGTAATAAATAATCTTCTTGATTCTAATGGTAAGCTTAAAAAAAACAAATACTTCATTTATAGGATTAAAAGCAATTTTGTAAGAGCAAAACGTGGTTTTTCTATATATAAAATTTAAGACGATTATTTATTCTTAACTAATCTATATTAATTTTTTTTTTTTCATTATAGTCGCTTGGCAATCTCATCGAATAGATCATTTATCAGATAAATTATTATTAAATGATAAAGAACCACCTATATCAATTGAAACATTATCCACATCAACAGAAAATAAACAATCACACATACCATTACAAGGTGAAAAATCATTATTAACAAGTTATTCAGTATTATCATCACCATCATCGTCACCATCAACAAATTCACAAAAAATGGGTGTACAATTACAAATAACAATAAGTTTATTAGTTATATCAATTAGTTTTATTTTTTGTACATTACCAAATTGTATATCGACAATTATGATTCAAACGTATACGAATGATGAAAGTGTTCGAAAATTCTGGCAAGCTATGAATTATTTTTCTGTTGTTCCATTATTAACAACACATTCTGTTAATTTAATTTTTTATTATTTATCGTCTAATATGTTTCGAGAACGTTTTAAAGAATATTATTTCAAAAAAAAAACTTAAAGATTTATTTGAGTAAGACTTTTTTATTGTATAAATGTTGTCAACTTTTCTTTTTTTTTTTCTTATTGTAGTTGTGCTGTCATCAATTGTCATTTTCTTGTCTATTTCTTGTTTTTTTTATATAATTAAATGAGTAGACAGACGTGCACTTCTCAAATGAAATGAGATCTTTTCTAGAATCATAAAAAGAAAACAAATATGTTACTTCTCACATCTTGGCTTTCTTCATCTGTCAGTAGAATCAATTAGCTTCATTTTATTTACTTTAGAGATCAAATTATATATATATATACATTTGACCTTTGATTTCTCCTGTGGAAGAAACTGATGAGTAATCTTTATAATTAACTTCTCTTTTTTCTGCATTTATTGATTTTATATGCGTATATTCATGCAATAAAATAGAACAGTTGAATGTTATATTATTGATGAAAGTATGCATCATCAAAATTGTCGTAGTTATTTTTACTGAAGCAGTACAAAACATTAAGGCCTTATCGTTCTTCTTCATTTGTAAGGATGCATTCAAAGAACGTAGTACCTATACATAGAATATATAATTATTTACCTAGAGATATTTATTCATGCGTTTAAATTACCACTTATCATATAAAGAAAAGATGAATGACATACTATAATGCATTTTTCTTGGATTAATGCCAGTTCTTGATGTATTATGAATTTTAACATTAGGAATAGAAAGAGATTTATAATTTATTTATCATATAAAATAGAAAATCTCAACTCTTTTTTTCTTTTGGTCTAATTCTATTATATATAAAAAGAAATCTACTAAATAAAAAACAATTCATGTTGTTCTAAGAATGAACAATCTTAGAAAATAAAAAATATCATTGTTAAACATAGTAAAACAGCAAATACAAATACACTACTACTAATAAGAATAAGTTGTTTAGATGAAAATTGAATCGTTCGTCGATTATGTATAGGTACTTGTTCGAGTATCAAATAATGATTATTATCTCTCATTGACGAAGTTTGTATCTGTTTATTATTAATATGAGATGAAAGATTTTCGTCTCCAGCTCCATTTCTTTTAAATCGATCAATTGTTCTATTCATATTAATGTCAATAATAGGTTGAGATTCACGTATTATTGTATGATTTAAACGATGAACATAATCGTCACTTGTAATAAGAGCACTTTCAATACGAATAGGTTCATTTTCTCCACAAGGATTGTTTTCATTTATAGATGAATAAAGATTATTTGTTGTTATATCTGTTGAACTTCGAATTGAACGATATAAAAATGGATGATCTTTATTTAGATCTTCATAAATATCATTAGCATTTCGATTGAAATTTTTATCATTTAAACAAATAATGGATTTTGGTGAATGAAATTTTTCTTCACTATCATTTGTTTGAATTGATGATGTATCAAATTCAAATGTTGATTTTGATGATGAAGAAGAGATTTTCGTATGAAACATAAAGATTAAATTAAATTTCTCAATGGTAATAATAATAATAATAATAATAATGATATTTATAATAATGAACAGAATATTTCTATTAGGTATTAAACAGAATGATAAAATAATGAGTAAGATTTGATGATGTTTTATTAGAGATTGAAGTGAAAGCGACAATGAAAAGAGTAACATAGACGCGCATCGGCGAAATGAACAAGCATATATTTACCCGCTAAATAATTAATAGTAATCATCAAATTTTAAAAAACAAAAATTAAAATTCTATTAACAGTGCTCCGTCATTTGTTTACATTTACAGTTCCAAGATGCGTGAAATTATATTTATTTTTATTGAATTTCTATAGGTTTTTGTTGACTCCTTTATACAAATGTTTGCACGAAAGAATCTACATACTATCAAATAAAATTTCATTTATTTATGAAGTATGAATCATGAATCAAAAATTTTTCTATAAATAGGCTTTCTTTTTGGCTATAAATCAAGGCTTGTTTTGATTTATCTAAATATTAGATAAATAATCATATTAAAAAACAGAATTATTTTTAAATTTCTATATAAAAAGAAATTTCTCAATTAAAAAGTCTTTCAATAATAAATTTGAATTCATGAGACTCACTTCATATATAGTTGTCATTGAATTACGAATACAAAAATAATTCTTTCTGTTATGTGCTTGAATACATAATGCTATATCGAACACAGCAGTTATGTAAACGAGCTGGTATTAATTTATATGGAATTTCATATAAAAAAAAGATGACTTTTTACCATAATAAATTCACTTAAGCAGCATATGCTGAAATCATAATTAGAAATATTGAAATACGGAAATATTTTTTAGAATAAGAAATTTAATATTTTACTCATAGAATATTCTTATTATATTCTTCATTGAATTATAAATGCTCCAGAAATATTAATTGTTAAACGATATATCATTTGCAATAATTTAATAAAATTTTCTTTTTCATTTGATCTTGTATGGAATATACTCAATATTCTGTTTAATATTTGTTTAATAATTCATATATACTTTTATTTTTTTTTAACTGAAGTTTTGTTTTTCTCTTGACAGAAGGTAATCGGAACAGACGTATTAGTTATAATAAAATTATTATGAAGTAATATACTTCGGATAGACTTTTGAATTTTGATATATTTAAATTTATCGTAGCTTCCTAATTGCGGGCAAAAATTAAGCCAATTAGTGGAAAATGACCGCTTTTTGGAATGACAAAAATTCGATTATCTCATTCTGTACTGTATTTCCAAAAAGCAGTCATTCTTTTAATTAAGAAACAATCAACAAATATAAAATGATAATAATATGTAGAGAGAGTTATTTATTCATGCTACTACTATATGAACAAAAACAGAACAAAACAAGAAAAACATTACTCATCATCGCTACTGTCTTTAGCATCTTTTAAAACATCCATATATCGATGAGAAATACTTCGTAAGACTTTTTGATAAGCATCGAAATTATTGTGCAAGATTGCTCTTTCACCTTTTTGCGTTGTTGACCAAGTAAATTTTGTATCCATCGTATCAAATGAAATGCTATTCTCTTTCTCACCTTTTATATTTATCAATCACACACACACACACACACATCATAATTCAATTTCGCAACTACTAATTAGTGAAAGAGTGACCGCTTTTTGGATACACAGTACAGAATGAGATAATCGAATTTTTGTCATTCCAAAAAGCGGTCATTTTTCACTAATTGGCTTAATTTTTGCCCGCAATTAAGACGTAGCCAAATTTATCGTGATAATCTATGATAGAACTTCAATTCAATTACATTTTCTCTTCTTCCATAATGGTGTGTTTTGGTCGTATTTCTTTGAAATAAGATTAATATATGATATGTTAAGCTATGATTCTAGACAAGAATCAGTGATTTCTTTTTTGTAAATTATTGTTTTGTAATCATCAGTTTGGGCTATTTCTAAAACATTTATTGTTTTTCAATGTATTAAAATACTCGTTAATCAACAATGTCCATTGATAATTGTGTTCAGCAATATATATTTCATAACATACATTAACGTAATATTGAATTTTGGCTATGATAAATAATCCAAATCAGTAAATGAATAGCTCAGAGAGAGAGATAGAAAATATCATGTGCTTTCTTGGCTAGTCGGTTCGCAATATTCGAAAAAGGAATAGTGTTGTGTGACCGGGCATATAACGAATTCTGCTATTGCAGAATTTTACGATTTTTTGTTAAGCAAAGTTCTACAATAGTAATCGAAGAAAAAATACGACTTAGAAAAAAACTAGATAATATGAACAATATCAACAAGGAGCTATTATTGACGATATTTTCAATCATTGATTCGCTAAATAATTGATATTTTAATAGATTGATCACTAATACTTATCAAAAATCATAAATACAGAGTCAAATTTGTGTGAAGAAAATTATTTATTTATCTTTTGATTCGAATAAAAAAAGTCATAATAATATGAGATTTAGTCATACCAAGTATTGTTAATACGAAACGGTTGTCGACGAGCATGTGAATAATATTTTATTACGCAAATTATAACTCATAATTATATTGATCATGCTATGAAAAAAAACTAGCAAGAATGAAAATGAATACGAATGTCAACTGCAATCTACTTGTTAAGTCAATACAACATGAATAGTTTACAAAATAGAGATATATTTTTTATGTAATATAATTTACGTGTAATAAAATAAGAGAAGAATGTGGATGTGAAGCTCAACCCAACACAGTTAACTGTGCTTGATAAATAATATTCATGGACTTCGTTTTATGGCTATTAAGTTAAAGTAAATTTATATATTTTGTATTTAGATCTATTTCCGACAGATATTACAAGAGTAAAAATTAATTTAAATAAACAAAATATTTCTTTCGTTTTTTTCTACAAGAGAACATACGGCCATAAATCATGGACCAGGTTTACGATAAAATACGATATGTAAACGGTTCGTATTTGATCATTTATCACCCTTAGACAGACACCATAATAAAACATTTGGAAAATGAATAATATCAGTCATCAACAATGACATAATACTATAAATAATGCTCATCTGTACAGCGTTATTATCGATTTAAATGATTAGGTGCTCACACTTAACACGACTGCAATTTTAACTAGAAAATGGAACTAAAACTAGAAGTTATCGAATGTAGCGAGTCAAACTTCGTACAAGAATGTTTTGTAACAGTTATTGACTATATTTCAATTGCTAATATTTGAAAGACTTTTGTCTATCATATTCATCATCTATGTGAAGTTAGATTAGTCTAATGGAATGTGTTTATTTTTTTATTTTTATAAGTGTAAAATCGAAAAAACAATACTTTCTTCAAATTATACAACAGTATGTTATAGAATTATTTGTATCAGTAATATGATTTTGATCTTCACTCATACTAAAACCAGAGCATATACCATGAATCATCCAGCTAACAATATTTTCTGAGAAATATCATAATAGTCCGAATATTCTTCTATATTGTCGTCTATGATAAAACTTTTGTTCTCATCATATGACATGACGATTCCATTATTCTGTTCTTCCATCGACCAATTGACTAAAGGAATGTGTGTTGAGTTTTCTGATGAAATCCATTCATTGTGTGAAATATTAGGATGATTTGAAAACATAGTAGATAGGATCGATAAAAATGCTGTATGATTTGTTATTGACTTCCATAAGAGTTCGATAATTCTGATTTGTTCATTTAAAAGAATATCACTTATACATGGACGTTCATTATTTACTGATTCCCATTCATTTTCTTCTTTATAATTACGATATCGATCTTCAAAATTTTGAAAGATCGTTTCCCAATCCCATAATTTCCAAACATTATTAATAATTTCTCCGTCTTTATCAACAATGATTGAGTCTTGCCAATAAAGATCATTATGTAATAAGCATAATTTTGAATCAATACCTGCTTCTTTCATTACTTTTTTCATATACAAAATAGTCTTCAAATCTTCTTGATCATTATCCATTAATATATGAATAGTAGTTTTTATATTTAATCTTTTCCAATATTTTACTAAAAGACAATGTAATTGAAAATTCGACATAAAATCATAATCGAGATTCATATTTTGAGCCCATTTTTCTTGTGCAACAGCAGATTGAAGCATTGTTAATGCACGATTAGCTTTATATTGACATAGTTTCAAACTTTTTCCATCAAATTTAAAATTCATATAATCTATTATATGACAATCACGTTCATCTATCCAGGATCTTCGAATTCGTAACCAGAATTGGTTTGGTATTTTAAAAAGTGTTAAAAATTCATCATTATGAATAATATAATCTGTGGCTTGCATAAATAATTGATATAATTGATTTGACGTACTACTAATAGTTTCAAAAAAATCTTCATTTGCTTTATAATAACAAACATTTTTGTCATTGGATTGCATAAGAAACATTTCTTTTGGATTATCAACATAGGATGGCGAATAATCATGATCAAAAGCCTTATTCTTAAGCTTATATTTGATTCATCCAATGGTTTTAATTGATCATTATTTTCAATTTCCATCCATCCATAAACATCATAATTATCTTCAATATAATAAAGACCATTTCGATATATCATTGGAATTTGACGAGCATAATTACTTGACCAATAATGAAATTGATAATTTTGTTCACATACACGAATAAAACTTTCTTGAACTTTACATATAACAGCAACATGATCATATGGTGAGTCTTCACTACGAAGATATATAAGAAGAGAACCGCATTCAGGTTTATATAGCGATCCATTTGAATAAGTTTTTAAAGGAAACTTTTGACCATCAGTCACACGTTCCACATATATCAATTCTTGCCACATATCAGCAGCATATCCGATATTTTTGAAAGATACAACTTTTACATAGTAATAACCATCGACGAGCAAATTCAACACACTGCCATTTGAGACCAGTATATATTCCATGAACACAAAACTTTTCAAAGGAAACGAAATCATCACATTTATTAGAATTCATTAAATGGTACAATTTCTTTTTGACAATCTGTCATAATTGATACTACAAAAAAAACGCATATGAAGTATTCCATGAAATCTCTACCAGGTTTACATTGACTATTTTCAAATCTCATGAAACATTCACAGTTCATAGATCATGTTCACCTAATCTTATTCATAATATCAGTCTTTTAATTTTCATTAATAAAGACATACATAGAGCGTGATACATGGTGTGCTTTTATATGAAATTACGAAAATTAGGATTCAGTCAAAAATGATGTCATACAAAAATCTTTCTAGTTGTCTATATTATATATTAGCTATGTCGTAGTCTTGGCTACAACGCATTGTGCTTTTTAAAATGCTTCGACTGATGTATTATCGTATTTTAAAGACCACTATTCGATGCGTGGTAAATATTCTTGAACCAACAAAATATTTGAAAATATTGAATTACAGAGCATAATCCTATATAGAGTTTTGTAGAAGTAATATTTTAGTTCTCTTCTCAAATTGATTATTATGATAGAAATACCTTTTGTTACGACAAACAATTATATATCAAAAGTATTCAAGGCATCGACAGTATTTTAAAAATAGGAATAAAAAACGAGAAGTATCATAAACTTTCAAAACATTTATCTTGAAATACTTATGTTTTAATGTATAAATATACAAAATTATAGACAATTCAAAGCACTCTCGATATATATAATTGTTTTTCTGAAAAGATATTTCTATAGTAACAACGAATTTGAGAAGATATTGAGTACTATCAGAATACATAATTATTTTTCTAAACATATATATTTTAATTTGGTTAATACAGTTGTAAATTCGATTGTAATTATGTTTTCCATGATGATAGACTGTATCATTATTGGCAAATAGTGTGATATTCACATTGATCTTTGATATATCATTTAAATATCGTATCAAATGAACGTCGTCATATCAGGAAATATTTGTGCTATTAGTGTTATAAAACATTCTGAGAAGAATAAAATATAAGTTTACTGAGACAGCTGATAACTATTCCAATGATATATGAAAAATAATCCGGTTTTAGCTCTTTCTTTAATCCATATTTTATCAAATATAAAAAGTGACAACTCGAGTCTAGTGCACATGTAAAACTCATCGAGAAAAAATACGAAAAATATCTCAGAAATTAATCACTCGTAGGAATTCTCCACTGTATCTATATATGTATATGTTATTGTACGCTTCAGTCCGTTATTGTGCGCACGTGGTGCTCATATTTAAAATTAACACTTTCTTTTCTACTATTAGTTGCCAATTAAACTTGAAACGACATAAAGAAACTTTCTTGGGCTTCGTTGATAAATTTCATGATTTTTACGGATCTTTCCTCTTTTGAGTTAATGATTCATGTAATTTTTTTCCATTTGTGTTTGTAATTATTGAAATTTTTTGGTAATTTTCAACATCTCGAAAAATTACGTTTTTGAATGCGTTTCTTTTACAAACAGAGAAAAACAACCTAATAACTGGTGAAGATGACATGTTGCAGCTTGGTCAAACGCGAAAGTGTAAAAAACGTATATATTTGCAACAAATTTTCAGAAACTTACGTTTATTTGCAAAATATTTTTCAAGTCGTCGTATTTTATTCATGATGATGCAAGCTATTTCAAATACTTACAATTTTTGTGCATAGATGCAAAACAATGGCATATACATAGACGTTCATGTCACAAACACGTGCATATAAATACAATCTTTCAAGTTTTTAAGTAAAAAATGCGAAACTATGCATGACTCTTATCCTTACAAATGATTGCATGCAACACTTATGCGTGCTGATATGCAAGGTATATGACTTGCATGTGAATGCCAGTGTTATTAGCGTATACCTGCGAGATGATTAGAATTTCTCTGAATTCTGCATATCAATGCAAAAAATGTCGTAGTTATGTACACTATAACCAAAGCGATTTTGCGTGAACATGTGAAATTCTGCTATTTTGTAGTGTGGACAATGCTTCACGTAAGAATTTAGTCTTATTCTTCGACATGTATTTATTTATTTCTCATTAAAATGAAATCGTTATGAAGAAGTTCGTCTTATAAAGTAAAGTATGTATGTTCGAATTTTATCTTTGGAAAAAAAAACTCCTGCATGTTCATGTCTAATGTGGATGTGGGTTTGGATCAAGAATACCTACATCCATACCCATACCCTGAACAAACAAAACCTGTTCAAGAAGAATTTGAACAATCATTGGATGAGGAAGTTAGAGTTTTAATAAGAAAGCGAATACTTGGTGATGATTGGTATACTTAAAATGTAGTACGAGTCAATTATGACAAAAATCAGGTTTCTATACGTTCTCCAACTCGACGTTTAGTTATTCCATATGATAAATCTATAGATTATTTAACTTTGGATGTAAAATTAATTAATACAATAACAGTACCTCCACGTGAATCGTACACTATTAAAGCAAAGATCGAATTATTTTCAGCTAATACGGTCTATTTTCACTCGAATGCTGATACTAAACTCAAGATTATACCAACACGTTACCAATCAATACTCTTCTAGATCGAGTATCACATGCACTGTATCATGTTAATTCATTTACATTATTTGATCCAATTCATTATTCATCATTATCATCATCATCCTCGCATCATTACACTATTAATAATATTGAATTGCAATCCACTACTCTTACAAGGGTGTGGGTGTGGGTGTGGGTGTGGGTGTGGGTGTGGGTGTGGGTGTGGGTGTAGGTGTGGGGTGTGGATATGGATGGTTTCTCTGCTTGAACTCACACCCACACCCCATCCACATTCACACCCCACACCCACCCTCAAATGGTTAAACAATATCAACAATTAAACATTGAATATACATTTATTTGAGTGATGTAAAGTTAGCAAGTATGCATAGATTCTTTTCTGTTTATTATTATTCTTATTAGGGTGTGGATGTGGGTGTGAGTTCAAGCAGAGAAGCCATCCACATCCACACCCACACACCGACACCCAACCACATCCACACCCGCACACCGACACCCAACCACACCCACACCCAAAATAAGACACTACCAAATTGATGATAATTTAATCATTAACAGAAATTACACATATGATAGTTATTATTTTTGATCAATTTGATAATTTAGTACAAAATATTCATTTGAATGTTACTACTCGTCTCTCATATAGTCATATATATCAATGTTTCTTCGACTAAAAAAATAATTTCAAAGATTTAACTTTTTTTTGATAATCTATTTTTTATCTCTCTGTTATTTACCTTCTTTATTCGCTATTAATTTATTTTGTAAAAGTGATATTTTCATAGGTAATCTTATTCATATTTTATTGCATTATAATGCATGAGTATTCGAAAACATGTAAATATTTAGAAACTAAAGACAGAACTGTTTTTTTTTATAGAAAAGCACAATGTAAACATTAAAGATGTTGCACTAGAACAAAACACAGATGATGATATTCAACAAAATGATGCACTTTCCGATACAGATTCTGAGACTGGGAAACTACTCATTGATGAAAAATGTATCGAAGATGACACTGAAAATGAAACAGAAAAAAATTACAAAAGATTTTTCAAGTTTCATGTAATAAATCAATCAACAATTCTACCAAAATTTCGGCTGTGAGTGTGGGAGTGTGGGTGTGGGTGGGTGTGGGTGTCTTGTCTTTTTCATTACCGCCAACATCCACACCACACCGATACCTCATACTCACACCCTCTGAAAATCGGTGTTATGGTGAAATTGATATGGAGAAGTTCGACATGGCACTTTTAAGCTAGTTTTAGAACAAAATCTGATATTTCTTTTTTAATATTACAAGAATCTTGGTATCATACTTTTCCTATTCTTTTACAAAAGAGCGACTATCTTGAAGATAATGGGTAATTTTGATAATTATCTTATATAATAAATTTTATATTTTCCTTTAGAGAAATTACAAATTTAAAATTAGAGAACTTGATAAGATTCTTTAAAAACACCATAACAAGTTTTCGAACAGAAGAAGGCAAAAAAATCAAGGCATCACATCATCAATAACGAACAAAACACCAACATTTGTGCTAATCATCATCTGAACCTTAATTAGTTTTTAGACACAAGTGAATATTAATAATTTTGAATCTGTTGATATTTAAACATCATTTGAATCAACAAAAAGAAAAGAAAAAAAATATATACTTTTAAATAAAAAAGAGAAAACTATCTCGATGTTTTGTTTAGTGATAGAATTGCTATTTGGTATGTTAGAGATGCAAAATTAACCGCTAAGAATAATGATTACGTTTCAACTAATAGAATTGAATAGTTATTAATTTCACATATTGTTTAAGTTCTTATGAATAAAATATGTTTCATATATGAAAGAATTTGTTAAGAGTGATGTTTTCTTCCAAGTCCTGCTCTTAGTTATCAAGATTATTTCCATAAATACATATATTAATCAAATAGAATCCGATAAAGCAATTTTTTTGTTATTTAAATAAAGAATTATTACTATAAAAATCTGTTTATTAAATTTATCTATATACAGTGGTTTGCAAAAAGAGTTGGAACAACCTTGGAGCACAAACATTTTTAGTTTTCTAGATTCTGTTAAGATTTTGTTCTGCAACTATTATATATTTATACTGAGCAGACTATCCACCAAAACTTTTCTCATAGCCGATTGATTGTTGTTCTCTCGTTGCAGAATATCAGGCTGACAGAGTAAACCCAGGCAGTTGAAAACTATGTCATATTTCTCAATTATATTTTTGAAACACAGGAATGCATCCGATTAGGAAAGTTCGTCGATATACAAAGGTAATACTGTCTACAATCAAT